ATAGCTGATTTTTCGGAAAAATTGTAACTTTGCGTGAATAGTTAAGGGGCTTAAACTAAACCAAATTGTCTGAAATTTTGTACAGTAATTAAAATCCCGACACATTTTCCATCTGTTAACTCAAAATATGATTGAAGCTTTTAAATTTTGTGCGCGAGCCATTTTTATTTTGTTGGAAAAGACACACCCCCCTGGTTCACAAAATTTGAGTTCGAGAAAATTTTCTCATTATTCTACATTATAAGTACCCGAAGAGGCTATATATATAAAAAAACGGATACAAATAGCTGTTTTGCGAAATTGAGAGCAATTTTAAATCTATTCAGTTTTTTTTTATACACCCTGTATAGATAATATATCATTCTACATCCTTGCGATAATAGTACAAATGTTTGAGAATCATATAGAATACTATATACACTATAATCAAAGTTATGTCGTTCAATAGGAAAAAGACGTGGAAACATGCAGTTTCTAGTACATACTCAGACATTATTGACAGGGTACCCTCGAAATGATAAAATGACTTTTTTAATCGAGATATACTTGCATGATTCTACATATAAATGTAGTTTTATCAAAATGGAGGTAGTTCACAGTATACGTTATTTAATGCAAGAAATCAAAGAAATAGAATTGCTTCGGTGTTTTCTGGCGAATTTGCATGTTCCCTACCGCAAATGCACTTTGTTTTCATGGTTTCGTGAAGTTGTTGTGTAAAGACCATCATTATCAACAATATATTCTTACAATATTTTCTATATACTTACATTACACTATTTTCACGATGTTCCAGGCTCCTTTCTGGTACTAGTGTTATCTCGTATTACCATACATAAAAACGTTCAGGCAGAAGTTGTATAAAACCTAGAAAAGGATTAGAATTTAATCAGTTTTACAAACAATTAATCTTTATCTGACTCCTATAGTTATGCCAAAATATCTACCTACCTATACGTGCCTATCTATCTCACAATGACATATTACATCAATATCCCCCTCCCCCCATGCACAATATTTTTTTGTTCATTTTTCAGACACCTTTTCCCAGTCACCTTGGCATGGTATATAATATACAGATTACAGCATGTGTTTCTTGTTTGATATGAATAGAATCTTTGGCTTTGCGAGAATATGTCAGATCAGGTTGCGAAGATTGGGTCTAAACGTTTGTATTAAAGAGAACACCAAAAGGTGGTTTCAACTTTAGACAATATGAAATCAGCTTTGGCCGATCACGTGTGTCAAAATGAAGCATGAGACCGCGTGGGAAAATTCTATAAGATCATTTTCACTAACAGTCGTTATGAGCAAAGACGTTGCCTAGAAACGTGGTAAATAAACATGGTCTATCAAGATATGATGGTCTGGAAACTAAACAGAAGCGTTTGTTTTATGTTTTTGTCGGAGTTTATGTTAATTTGTGCACGGTCACGGTGATTGAGCTCATTGTATTTTCGTATAATTAACTGTCCAATAGGGATAGCTGAACGTGTAACCACGATGAATAATATTTAATGAATTTAAGACAAAAGGGTTGTGCACGCGGTAAGGTACAGTTCAACATCAAACAAAGGTCTTCTATTTTGTGACTTTGAAGTTTGCCGGGTTCCAGACCATCATATCTTAATAGACCATGATATAAACATGAATCATCATGCATTGAATAGACATGACGGTAGTTCTCTTCCACAAAGATATCTACATCTTAATTAGCTTGAGCGATGACGTCACTCTGAAATATAAATTAGGGAGCTAGATTAAACAATCCAACGTATCCTCTCTGAGATGCGTTCAAAATTTCAGTCTCCGTCTTGGGTTTTACAACAAATTTGACTAAAGTACACCAAAGAAATTTCTTAACCAAAATATAATTTAAAGTGTGAATGTATTCTTCCTGAGTTTTAGAAATGTTAAATGGTTATTTGATATGCAGCATTTACATTTACATATCGAAAATGAACGAAAATAAATGGCGTGAATAAACATCGCTATATAGGTGTGCAAAGGCTCGGTACAGTTACTTACTGTATGTGTGGTTCTAGCTTTATAACGTTTATAGCTTCACGCCAACCAAATATCAGAAATATGCTTCGCTTTGGTTTATGTATATGAATGCAATTCCCGCCGAACACATTACATTCACATGAACTAAATGTTTCGACACTCCTGTTACTTAACTCTCTTCATCATGCAGGGCGATCTAAAGTCGAAATACAAACGTTTAGTGGGTCGTGAATGTAATTTGTTTGGCCTTTACATTCATTTGCTTGAAGCAAAGTAGCGAAACATGTCTGATCTAGAGTTACTGCTTTACTTATTGTAAATGACCACCGACAAAAGTATCGCTCGCTTGCAGCAAACGTTGCATATTCTCGTGGATTCTGCATATCTAAAATAAAGACTGAAAAGAAAGGTTAGCTGACTACAGGTGCGAAGAATACACTAACATCACTATAAGTCTTCACTATTACCTCATCTATCCATTGTCTCAAAAATTTCCACCCAAGTACGATGTCCCCATTCTTTATAACCTTGACCTATCTCTGCCATTACATTACACAAATATCCTTGTAACAAATAGTTGTATCCACTAAGTTCTTGATAACTACAAAACCTGTCAGTTGAACAAATTAAGTCCAATAGCTAGTCCTTGAAAAGAAACGCGTGGAGCTTGACTTAAAAATTTTAAAGTGTTGTCGTTGCCGCGTAGCACCGGCAAAACATGATTAAAAATTTGTAAGGCGCCCTATATATATTGCTGTTTGTGCTTGCTTCAAACCATAAAAAATTAACGCACATGCATGAAATGTAGACCGGAGATTTTTATTGAAATATGGTTTGAAAATCGTGCTTCTTGCCATTTTCATTTAATTTTGTTTCAACGAGAGAATAGAAAGTAACGTAAACTGAGTAGGTTAAGCCATTTTGAAATAGTTTCTCGGTTAAAATGTTCTTTACATCACTGACAAAGTTTTAAAAGAAAATTGTGATGTGAAAGGGGGCCCCACTTTCGATAAATCATTCACATGCCACCTGCAAAATTGTTAAATTTTTAACTCCGTTTTTACAACAGTCATTTTAACATTTGAACTTAATGTAGAGATTTGCAAAATAATTTGTCAACATTTTCAAGTTTAGGAATACTTTGTCCTGTACAAGACCACAGTACATTGAATTTTGGCGAGAAGATGAACGCAGCATTCTCAGTTGATAGTATAGTTTAAGTACAACACTATTATGATTAATTAAAGTGATGTTTATCTTGATAAATTAACTGTATTGTTGTCCAATAAGAGTGGGATGTTTTACCAACATACATCAATTGAGATTGATTATATTAGCTTATCGTAACTACCGTGTAGTTGTCTGAGATAAACAATATCTCAATTGATGTCCAGTGCGCAGACTCAGTGTGAAGTCTGACATTTTTCAATCTTTCTATTTCCAATTTGGAGTTTCCACTGCGTATGCAAACGACGCGTTCTGCCTCGGGATAAATTGCAGTTGAATCATGACATGTAGCTGAAACTGGAAGCATTCAATACATGCATGTCAAAATATCAAACTGTTCAATCATTATTTGCTTATAGCGACAATAGAACTGTCATTAAATAATTTGTACTGGCATATTTTCTCTTCTGTGTAAGCAAAATAAGAAAAATGCACTGAAGGGGTTATATTTTCTAATTTGAATTAGCGAGGCAACCGTGCGGAAACTAATTGTTTTTTAGAACTTTTGCATATTCAAATGATTGAAGAGTTGAAAATTTTGATATTTTTCCTCAGCTCCATGTTATAGTTCAACTGCAATATATTCCGACGGCGTCATTTGCATGCGCAGTGGAAACTCCAACTTGGTTTATTACCAACTAAGATGATTTTGAATTTAGATTGCGTAATTTGCTTATTGAAATTGTTCCCATTCAACAATCAACCTTTATTAATACAAAATTAAATATTCTACAGTATTCATTATATCAATTTACACACTACAGTAAATAATAAATATATGCGTTCAGAGCTATAATAATTGTTTTTCCTGTTAAGTTGAATAATAATAGTTATTATTATTGTTATTTTATTAAATTGTAAAATTCTGTCATACTATCTATATAATATTCAGGTATTTTCACGTTTCTTTCCTGACCGTCATTTAATTGTTGTTGAGCCTCGACATCAGCCAAAGTTGACACACCAGATAAAACTAATATTGTTGATGTATTACAACGGTTACCAAACTCAATGTCGGTATCAATGCTACAACAAAAATATCATATTTGTACTTGGATAATGTTGTCGGCAAATGCGATACTACCCCCTTCTGTAGCCTCTTCGCTGCGGCCCTGAATGTTACATATAGAGGACCTGAATGGTACATTGGCCACCATATTGAATTCTAGCGCAGCTCTGAGATTAACAGTCACCCTGACGTCATTACAAGGAGTCGAAGACTACGGTGGCAAAGTCGTGACGGCAACCACTTTCACTTACGAAATCTTCTGTTCAACTCTCGGTTCGGGTTTTCACCGGTTTTCATCGACCAAATGCTTGCCAGATGTTTGTTGAGAAAATGAAGTCTAACGACCAAATAAATAACCCTCTTGCTAACATTTTCAGGCGTAACATTTATAATGAGCGTGAACAAGGTTACGAGGGTTCGAGGGACTAAATAGAGTAAGAGCAGGTACAGAACGTTTCTCAATATTATATACAGCTAGTTTAAGTGTGTGATTCAGTTCTGTAACTGCAAAGCGTTTTATTAAACCATTTATTATAATTATAATTATAATTATAATTATTATTACTATTATTACTATTACTATTACTATTACTATTATTATTACTATTATTATTATTATTATTATTATTATTATTATTATTATTATTATTATTATTATTATTATTATTATTAGGATGCTAATCTCCCCGAGAACTTCCGTCCAATAACTCTTCAATCCGTACCACTGAAAGTATTCACTTCAAGTCTCCGTAATGCAATGTTCTCTTACCTACTCGCCAATAACTTTATCGAGAACGAAATTCAAAAGGGCTTCACCCCTCATATATCGGGGACATTTGAACATACAGCACAAATGGCTTATATAATCAATCAAGCACGAATAAGACAGCGATCTCTCGTTATAACCCTTCTTGATCTCAAGAATGCGTTTGGTGAAGTATATCACAATTTAATCCAATCTGTTCTTGGCTATCATCGCATACCTCAACATATTCAACTCATGATTAAAAGCCTTTACACAAACTTTAAAACATCAATCATCACATCTGATTTTAACACCCCATTTGTAGAAGTAGGTCGTGGAGTTTTGCAGGGAGATTGCCTCAGTCCATTACTATTTAACCTATGCTTTAATACTTTTATCCAGCACATAAAATCGGAGAAATATCAACAGTTTGGTTTTTCTTATAAACTTCTCAACCCAATTCATTGGTTCCAGTTCGCTGACGACGCAGCCGTAATAACCGGCCAAGAATCTGAAAATCAACACCTACTAAACCGTTTTGCAATTTGGTGTCAATGGTCAGACATGATTATTCGAGTAGATAAATGTAGCACCTTTGGCATCAAAAAAGCTCTCACCAAATCAATTCAATACCTCCCTAAGTTAATCATTAACAAATCTATTATTCCAGCTGTTGAAAGTGGAAAATCATTCTGCTATTTAGGAAGGTACTTTGATTACGAAATGACAAACAATGAACATAAATCAGAATTAGTCTCCCTATTGACAGACCTAATGAAAGAAATAGATCTGAAGCCATTACATCCGAAAAACAAGATTCTCCTCTACAGTCGCTACGTTCTTTCAAAACTCTCATGGCATTTCACTATAACATCAATTCAAAAAACGTGGATTTCTGAAAACCTGGACTCAGTTTTCAAACAATACATTCGTGAATGGCTTGAGGTACCTATTTCTGGATCACTTAGTAATATTTACCTAACCAGTAACAAATTTGGTCTGAACATTATCTCCCCATCAACTAAATTCATACAATGTCAAACAACTATCCGCAGTGCTTTGAAGTCATCTCCTAATGAATCAATAACCCACCTCTGGAAATCGACCTGTAATCATACTAACACCCAATATGATCAGTATACGTCGACAAAAGAAGTAATCAAGTCATTCCGTGAAGTTCATGAAGATAAATTGGAAAATCGGTTAAAATGTCAAGGTTCATTCTTCTCCAGCATCTCAAAATTTTCACTACCCCAAGTAAATTCGATTTGGCCAACCTGTCAATCCAAACTACCAAAAAACATTTTCAACTTCACTATTCGCTACATAAACAATTCGCTACCAACCCGTAAAAACCTTCAAAAATGGGGACTCTCCTCGTCCTCTGAGTGCTCGTTTTGCCTTAAACCTGAATCTATGTTACACGTTGTTGCTGGCTGAAGTTCCTATCTTGATCGATTTACTTGGAGACACGACTCAATCCTAAATTTTGTTGCTAATAACCTCCCATCAGAACATATTCAGACCATTTATGCGGACTTACCGTCATTCCCTAATCCCTCTATTATTACTGGTGATGACCATCGTCCTGATCTACTAATTTTGACCAAAGACAATTGTCTGTATGTACTCGAACTAACCGTTGGATATGAGACTAACCTGAGGAATAATATACAGCGCAAATATTCAAAATATAAAGAGATGATCGTAGAACAAAAGAAAAAATTCCGACCGGTAAAGTTCATTAACCTCTCAATCAGTGCACTCGGTGTTTTTGAAAAAGAATTTTCACATTTCATACAAATGTTGGAACATTTGAACTCAGATAAGGCCGGTGTTAAATATATCATTAGGAAAATCATTAACATTGCAATAAGAACGACATATTACGTTTTCTGTTCTAGAAACAAGGATTGGTCGAATCCAGATTTAATGAACTTCTAGTTAGTCTCTTACTTTTTGTATCATATAATTATGTCCATGTGTTATGTAAATGTAGTAATATATAGCGTATCAAGTAGCCAATTGTAAATTACCTTTAACAGTGAGATTTTCAATTGTAAGTGCATAAAAAATTCAATAAAGTTTTCATTATTATTATTATTATTATTATTTAAACGGTCTCAAGAGACCGTTTAAGTTTACACGGCGCATGGATAGGCAAAATTTAATCGGTGGATAGCGCTAAACGGGCTTGATACGACGCGATTTCCCGAGCGTTTAAATTTTATCCGGCGGATAGCGAGTTAAACGGTCGTTTAATTAGCGAGTTAAACGCCTTTGACACAACCGGCCCCTGGTTATACTTAATCTGTGGCTGAATCGGTCCCGTGCCTGTTAATCGTACTTTGTGTATAATCGTACTTTTATATCATATTTATAGCCTTAGAAAATACATGCATACAGAAACCCCTCGCCTTGCTGACAAAACCATTGTATTTTCCCAACATGATGATGAGGTATTTCAAGTAGTTGTCATGGAAACACGATAATTTTGTTAAGAATATTTTTACAAATGAAAAATCCCCTAAAAATATCACTTTTAATTACAAAATTACCAATTCCCCAAACATATATATGTTAGGTATGTTGTTATTCCGAATATAAGCCTCAAATTAAGGTAAAATTCAACCTCAAACGCTTCGCAAGACGTTTTAAAATGTTTTTTTTATAAAACTAAACTGCTTTTATCGAAAAAATTTGAATTTGAAATAAAATGATTTCAAATTCTTGCATTCAAACAACTTTGCTTTCTTTTTTATTTAAATTAAAAATTTTAACTAATATAATAAAAAAGGATAGTCAATAAAGAAACACTGAAATTATATGCTGTCTTTTTCATTTAAAAATACGCAACGAACAGCTTTTAAAGCAATTATTTATTTTCTTAAAAAACTTTTGAAATTCACAAAATCTTGCAAAAATGAAATATATTCGCAAGAAATCATCAAACAAGAATTGTTTGCTGTTTCGCTGTCGTCATGCAGTCGTTATAATGCAAATTTTAAATTTGACCAATGGGTGTTCGCTATTCATGACAGTCCGTCATATTTTTGAGATCAGTGAAGATGACCACCCACCCAACACCCAACCACTATTGGTCACCTACACCCGCGATCATTGATGAGCTTCAGACTTCGCTAAAATGCTTTCGTTTTCCCGGGTGTAAATAGTCGGGCGGAATTAATACCCTCGTCCCGGTCTCGCGCCCGGAACGGCGCTCCGCGCCGTTCGCTCGGGGATGATGTTCCCGACACCCATGTTTAACCGGAAAGTGCAATTTCGTGAAGCTAAATGATAGGGTGTAAATGAAATATTTTATTATGCCTTCGCGCTTGTTCTGCACGGTAGTCGATTTTGTATAATAATATCGATATATATCAGCTACATTTTCTTTTTCTACATTTTTCTACATTTCCATGCTGCAATATACAAGTTATATACAGTCCATGATGCACATCATTAAGGGCACATTTCTTCCAGTCATGCAGCCGCTGTTTTTTTTTATTACGGGATATGGAGTAATGTATATACGCTTACTCTTATTTCTGCCGCAGCGAGCGAGCCTGAAGCGATCGAGCAAGGCGGCAAACTTAAATAATACATGTCAAACGTGCGCTATATGTTTGTCTATAACATGGTTGCCGCTTCAAAGTTGTGCCGCGACCGCATACATTTTAAAATTACATTTTTTAAATCGTTCACCGTTTTGTGAATGTTTACTCTTGAACAAGTAAGAAAAGTTCAGAATAAAGGTCAGAATAAAGGTCAGCATGTGAATGTTATTAACCGTCCCTGGCTTCGATGTACGGTATATTGAAACCCTTGGGACAGTCTATATACCGCAAAGATTTAGCGTTAGTGTGGTAGGAAAATAGCAATCAGGTCTAAACTTACCATCTTGCGTTTTTAATCTTGTTCTCGTAGATATGTTCCAAACAATTAAGTTTCATAGAATGAATGCTTGTCATCACTTCTCGAAGGTATCCAAGGCGTTCCTCTGCCGCGCGTGAAGCATTTTGTCGTAATTTAAGATCAAGTCTTGTCACTGAAATACGAAACAAGGAAACAACAAAAAACACAAAGAGGCCAGGAACGATTGTCCACCCATATAACAATAAAATCCAACTGATGTATGTGACAGCGGAAATAATTTTCCGAATCAAAAATGGCAATGCTCTGTCCGCCATTGTGACTAAACATTGTGTATCATTGCATACCAATTCCATTATTTCACCCGCGTTTATCGTTGTTTTACTGTATGTCAACACCTGTAAGAAAATTAAGGTATACGTTTTTTTAATTCTATAGCATCCAAAAAGGTAGAGAGGGACTAATTCCACGACGGAGATATTGTTTCCAATTCATCGAAATCTCTTTCCTGGCTGTACATGCATGTAAGAATGACTGAATATATAGTTTTGTGGTGCAAATGCGGCTGAGTCGTTGCATGCTATCTAAAATGTTATGACGTTTTTGTTATTTAACAATCTCTTCAGAATGCTCCAAAGCTATCTGCAATATTCTAATTAATTAAAATTTAGACAACATTTCGAAATTTGCCACAAACTCTCTATTCAATTTTTTTTTTGTTATATTTGTCGGATTTATATTTACATTAAACATTGTACAATATGCAGGGCAGGTACATATGTATTTGTTCTGTACTTAATTCATTAAACAGTCGATAACATTGATCGATATTGGTGTTCTACAGGGTGTCTAAAAAAACGCTATGGAAATTCAATAGGCTGTCGTGCATCATAAACGTAGCTAAACAATTTTTACATAAATGGCTCCAAGTACCGGAAGAAATCTCATTTCATAATCGGCGACAATGTGCTGATCAGAAACTACAATAAATCAAGAAAGTTTGACACTCTCTTCCTCCAGGAAGCGTTCAAGATCATTGATATGAACAGGGAGGGAAACATAGTCACAGTACAACAGGAAGGAAGCGGTCTCACCCTGTGTTGCCACCCGGATGATCTCAAACCTTCGAAAAGTCGACCGGACAACCGCGAAGAGAAACAGGAGTGCATGCAGTACGCCGACATCCAATGGCCAAAAGTAATTGAGATATGCCTAAAGCCAAAAGTAATTGAGACAGCCTATTGATGTGACTAACTTTGCTGCCGGGTATCTCATTATTTATGGTGGGGGGTGGCACCGAAGTGAAAAGTGTTGGGTAAACTAAATTTTGAGTAAGTAAAAGGTTGGATAAATTAAAAACAAAACAACTCAAGGGTTGGGTAATAAAAAATTATTGTCATTTCCAAAGCATGACTCACTGAAGTATTGGGGACTAAAAAGCAATGGCAACAGTAGGCCCTACTACTCTGGGGTGATAACGAGATAAGCAATTTTAGGTATGTGATTTAAGCAAAATCTGCAATTTTTAAGCAATGCGTGTTTGAGCGATATGCAGGGTGACTTAAGAAAACAATTAAAATTTTAGGGAATGCTGTTTTAGGTGTTTAGAGGTAATTTCAGGAATATATACAACTATATCCCTGATGACTCCAGTGAAATTACCATTAACTTATCCCAAGCATCTAAACATGAGTGTTCCCACAAATACACACATGTGCAGTGTATGAAGCAAAATATACAATTTGACAAGAAAAGTCGAAGTCTGCTTGAGGGGGTTCTGGTAACAAACAATACACTGTATGCGCATGACGATCAAGTGTTTAAAGGGTAAATAAGCTAAATATTCATGACTTTTTTCATCCATTGTCTATTTCAAAGCCATTGAGGTATTATTAAATTCATGACACAACTATAATACATGACAACATCATATGCAATTACAAACAATTTTCAAAGGAATTGCAATATAAAACATATAAGTAAATTATACATGTCATGACCTTACCAGTTTGTGTTGAGTTAAATTTTAAAATTTTTATGACATCAAATATTATTTATTTATTTGCAAATCAAAACTTAACATTTTAAAATTCTCGTATTTCGTATTGCGCCCGCGATATATTAATGGTATTAACCGCTGTAAATATGACATACAATTTAAAATTTTTAATACATTAGTACATTACATTTGCGCTCAAAAGTTAAGGAAGTGAGTTTCTAAAAAAGGAAGAAAACTCCGTTTTATGTATGGTATGTAAAAGGTAATTGTTGTTTACTGTTTATTTTGTATTCAGGTATGGGGAATTTACGCGATGAGAGTTGCAAAACTTGCAAATGTAGTCTGACTAGTCTCTTTGACGTCATCATGCAACTATTTAATATTGTGCTACATTCATTATTCAATTTATTCACAGCAATTAGCCTTCTATAAACCATACAAATGACTATAGCTTGTAGTCCACCTTGCCTTTAACATTGATCATATATAATGAATTAATATAACCAACCTGATTATGTTGCTAGTCGAGTATGGGACCTATGGGTCTTTTATATCAACACGAGTGGAAATTGGGAAAACGAGAAATTAATTGTGTGGAAACACGACGCCCGAAAAAATATAGTACATAGAAATATAAAGAAAGAAATTTTCCGACATTTCTGTGTTGACATTGAGTTATATCAACACGGCTCTTAGCCAATCAGCATTCAGAATTTACAAATGCTATATTATAAAATATGTTATCAAATTATGTCACAGAAGTGGTAAAGGACATATGTGACAACTGAATGGTACCTTTTGTATATTTTTTGGCCAGGGGTGAGTATATATTTTTTAATTGCTATTTGAGGTTGGGTAATTAATTTCTTTTACTTTTTAATGGTTGGGGCGGCAAAAATTTTGCCACGAAAAACATTTCTCTTCGGTGCCACCCCCCGCCATAAATAATGATCGGTCCCTAACGATGAGAAATGGCCACATATATTTGTCAAATAAAAATTGCCGGTCGAAATCTCTTTCTTCCACCGTTGGGAATTGAAATTACAGTAATTATGCAAAGTTAGTCAATCCAAAAGCAACGCGAGTCTGCTGCAAGCTATTTGTTTCGTAAAACGTTTTGATTACGAATGTTCTCTTAATGACGTTCTTATTGAGTTATTGTCTGGCTAAGATGAAGATTGACGAATGGAGCTCATTTTAGATCATTTAACATTCAATTTTACTTCCCTCTTGGGAATAGTTTATGTTTCGTTATCCATGCAATTCTCAACGGTGGAAGAATGCGATATCTACCGGCAATTTTTATTTGACGAGTATGTGACCATTTCTCATCGTTACGATTTAACAAGTGTATCATTGAAAAGCTAACTAACTGTTCTTTCGTTGTATGTAAAAATTTAAATGTGTAGCCATGTTTATGATGCCCGACAGCCTGTTAAAATTCCATAGCGTTTTTTTTAGGGACCCTGTATAAAACAAGTAATTAATGTTTTTATTTTAAAGGCATAGTAAAAATATTTTTATTCGGTGAAATATGAAATTTTCCATTCCTTCCGTGGAATGGAAAATTCCATCTTTCACATCGTCAAAATATTTTTAACTTTTCACTCATTAGCATTCATTATTTGTATAATGCGCGATGACTAACTTCTTATTAACCCAACGTGAGGTTTGTATTGAGAAATATCGGACCGAGGTCTTTTTTGTACAGACCGAGCCAGTAGGGCGAGGTTTGTACAAAAAGTCCGAGGTCCAATAGCTCTCTGTACATAACAAGCAAGCGAGGTAAAGAAAAAGTTTATTTTTTGGCATTTATAGGAATTTATACTTGAAACAAACAAGAAATGCATGATTTGAAATGCATATTGGTAGCGTGGTACACATTTGGTCGAAAAAAAAATGACAATCTGTTCCTTCTTTTCCACTAGAAACCATTCGCAGATATTTTATTAATAACAAGTTAAATGACAATTTTCAATTAGTTTTGCTGTCTTATTTTAAAATCCATGCGTTTGTTTTTACGTAATTGGACCGCCTGTCATTACGGGAGAAATAATGGACCGCTGCGGTGAACATAGCCGGCGGAATTAACATCCCAAGCGTTGTGTTGGGGATTAATTAAATTCTCCCTGCAAGTTACAATGTGAGAATATACTTGCTCTGCTGCGTCGTTAATCATAGAGTGATGAAGATGCTTACCTTTTTATAAATCAGGCCAACAACGGCTGCTCTGGATTTTATTCCTAAAATGGGCGTGATTAAATTGAAATGTCGAATGCCAAAATTTGTAAGTAAAGATCCAATAATCATGCCCCATACGTTGATAAGATATTGGTTTCTGGACTGCAGACCGTCTGCAGTAATACTCCACAAAGAATGAATTAATTTTAGAGTAGAATAGCGAAACAAAATATTTCCCGTGTTTGTAGAGAAACACGATAAACATAAAAGTCCATATTCTTTCCACGAGAAACATTTCAGCATTGCTTTCCAAAGTTTAGGTTTTCTCTTTGCTTTATTTGCTGAGATTTTTTCATTTCGCCAAGTCTTCTCCAACAGTTCGGTTCGATACTCCGAGTAGTCTTCTTCTCTGACAGGATCAAGATCATCTTGATCAATTGGCCTTAATCTTCCTCTCCACAAAAGGTCAACAATCCACCAAAACGTGAGTTTAGATATGAAGTTAGCTTTATCTTTTCGATGAACTTTTGTGTTCATAGTTATTATCCATCCTAGGAATATTTTGAAATAATTGAGAATTTGCACAAGCCTAAATAGCTTGTCTCAAGTTACAGTGATCAAATTAATCTGCAAACAGTTTGTGGTTTTTGAAAAGAGCATAATTTCCGACGGATCCAAGGTAATATCTAAAACAATTACTTTTCATTATCTACGAAATTATGGTGGCAAGACTGGCAGTGGTGTAGTCCTGGAATACTAACAAGGGAGGGGTACAAAAGTGTCCTGAATTTAAACTAGAAAATACATGCATGCAGAAACCTCTCGCCTTGGTGACAAAACCATGCATTGTATTTTCCGAACATGAAGTATTTAAAGTAGTTGTGATGGTAACACGATAATTGTGTTAAGAATTTTTTTACAAATGAAAAATGTCAAAAATCCCCTAGAAATATCACTTTTAATTACAAAATTATCAATTCCCCAACTATGCCAATAAATTGCCCATATACAAAGTAGTACATATTGCTCCTACATTTGAGACTACGCCTGCTCCGATTGGGACATGCCGCTTTTTTGTCTGACCGCGCACCTATTTCGCGTTACAACATACGGATTTATTCTATCGGATTACAGTTAGCATATATTTTTTTTTACAATCTTTGTCACATAGCCGGTTTAACCCACAGAGCTAGTTGCTCCTTTACGGGTAACCTGCTAATGCAATACTGAAATATAAGTTAACACAGTAGATATATCGCTTCAAAATCGCTAATCACTGAGACGTTTGATTCAATGTGGTCCTGAGCAATTCTAATCATGTGGATCGAAAAAAGGATTTTAATTTAAATTTCACATGCTCACTAACAAAGTGATATTTCCACTGGGTTAACAGCAACTAATGACAACACAGTTTGACAGAAAGACTGGACAAGGGACGACACAAATGACACTTTACACACACTGTTTTAAACGTTTGTGGAACATCACTGTCGTAGACCTCTTCAACAAGTTTTGGTAATATTTAAATAGGCCGCATTTAAATTGACTGATTGAGAGATTTGACTGCCGTAAGTGTAATGGTAAACAGTTAAAAGTCCTGGGTGATCTGCAGTAATAACTGTTCTGAAATGTTAAAGTGTTTACTCTAGGAACTTGCAATATAATTTTTGCGGTTCCATCATTTTTTCTCGTCAACCGATCTGTTGTCTTTGCATGGATATTATGGTCATTAGATAGAACTAACGCTTTGTAAAGGTAGACCATATCCAGGAATTCATGCCAGTATGTTAATGGTAGTAAACCACTTTTGACAAGTCTATCTTTGTATGATACTCCTGACAAGAATGGCAGTGATAAAATGTATCTGGTGGCGCGACGTTGCACGTTTTCTACTTGAAGGATAAGTGATACCGACTGTGGTGACCAAATTTGTGTCCAATATGCCATCTGGCTTCGCACCATTGTCTTGTAAAGCGCAAGGCGGGTTTTCTCGTTGCGAATGTCCATTGATGATCTTTTAATGAAGCCGAGCATTTTGTTTGCTTTGGCACATACCATGGACACGTGCTGGTTCCATTTCAGATCGGATGTGATGATCACTCCAAGGTCTTTCTGGGCATTGGTTCTCTTGATGGGAGTGTCGTACTTAAGGTGGTAGCTCGACGGCACTAGCTTCACATTTCTGGTCACCGAAAGAACTTCACATTTCGATTGATTCAGATCCATCCGCCACGATTCACACCAATTGTTCATACCATCAAGGTCTTTTTGAAGATATTGTTCATCCTTTTGTGATCTAACTGGACGATAGCATTTAGTATCATCAGCATACAAAGCAATAGACGATGTAGATGTTTCCTGCGGAAGATCGTTCACGTAAATAACAAACAGTAAAGGACACGCCAGAAAGTGCTGGGAGAGAATGTGAAGTTTTTCCAAGGACAGTTACTCTTTGGTGACGATTGGTTAAGTAGTCTTCAAACCATTTCAACAAAGTCCCACCAATCCCGAATTTCTTTAACTTTTTTACAAGCAAACGATGATCAACTCTATCAAAAGCCTTTGCAAAGTCAAGGTAGATGATGTCGGTTTGAACTCTCTTGTCAAGCTTTTCACCGATCTCTTGTAGTACTTGTAAAAGTTGGGCTGTTGTTGATTTGCCTCAGAGAAAGCCGAATTGGAGATGATGAAGGTTGATGGAAACGTGAAATATTCTTCATTTTCCGGCAAATTTTGACCTTTATAGATAAAATTATGGACATATTTTATGTATCCGTTCCTACATTTCAGAAAAGCAATAAAAATAATCTTTAATATACAGTTTTGTTCATGATTTTGGCGTTTTGCAACCATTTACCGCTGGTTTAATAGGCAAATGTCCAAAATTTTTTTGCCGTTAGTACTTATATATGTTAGGTATATTATTATACGTAATATAAGCTTCAATTTAAGGTAATTTTCAAACTCAAACGCTTCGCAAGACGTTTTAAAATGTTCTTTATAAAACTAAACTGCCGTTATCGATAAACTTTGAGTTTGAAATTATAAAATGATTTCAAATTCTCGCATTCAAACAACTTTGCTTTCTTTTTTATTTAAAAATTCTAATATAATAAAAAAGGGTAATCAATAAAGAAGCACTGAAATTGTATGTTGTCTATTTCATTTAAAATATACCTAACGATCAGCCTTTAAAGCTATTATAAAGCGAACAATACATCAATTTTTAAAACAAACCTACCTTCGTTAACGTCGGCGACTTCACTCCCTTCTTTTATAGCAATTCTTTCGCCTCTATTTTCTTAGAAAGCTTTTGAAATTCACAAAATCTTGCAACTGAATGAAACATTTGCAAGAAATCATCAAATCAAGAAATGTTTGCTATTTCGCTGTCGTCATGCAGTCGTTATAATGCAAATTTTAAATTTGACCAATCAGTGTTCGCTATTCATGACAGCCCGCCAGTAGTGTATAATGACGGGTTCTGGACCCTTTTCGCAATTGCGCCCAGTTTGCGGCAAATCAGGCTTGTCCAGGCATGCCCAAAAGGGGAATTCCCTTTTCCCAATTTACTTCATAGAATTCCGTTTTCCCTGAAAAACTGTGACGTCACTTTCGGTTTCTATGACGTCACTTCCGATTTCCTAAAAAGCCCCACTATCCCTTGCGCCACTCTCGGAATCCTCCGTCTTCCGAAATCTCTTCCTCCTCTCGCGCACCCTCTGCCCCCAGACCTCCGCCCCGCGCGCTTGTTAGAGTTTTCCCGGGGTCTTCCTAAAGTCTTCCAAAAGCTTCCTAAGGTCTTCCCAAAGTATTCTTAAGGTCTTCCCCCCGCGCGCCTGCGACATGCTTCCCAAAGTCTTCCTAAGGTCTTTCCGAAGTCTTCCCGAAGTCTTTCCGAAGTCTTCTCGAAGTCTTTCCATCGGTAAGCGGTTCCGGATCCCTACTGCCTTAGGCTTTTATGTCCGATTTCCATTGTGTGTATTCCGTCCTCACAAATCACGCGTTTGTCGTCGTTCGCAGATAACCCGACCTTGCTGACGGTCTCAGAGTACATAGTCTGATGGTAACTCCGAAGTCCGTTCATTTCCATCATGTGCCTTTTTTCCGGATCCTTCATGCAGTTGACGTAGTCGTCGAAGGTAAGCCCACCCTTCACGACATATTCTCGGACACCCTTTGCCTTCTTTTCCTCTGACCCATCGCTCATCCTGAATGCATACATCTTTCCTCGGATGACACACGCATCGCTTATCTCTTTTCCACCCGGTTTCGTTTATCATGAAACCAAGCTCCATTTTGTTGTCGCAGAAGTACATCGGATGGTCCTCCTTGTAGTTGTTGTGGTCGAAGTACTTGAGATGATCACCTCTTTTAAGGATGTCCGCATCCACATCGTCCGTCTCAATGTGTACGAACAAACTGTCTGTGTCAGTCATAATCAGTTTGACCCTGTCACCCCATGTGGGCTTTGCGTAGTTGTACCAAAAGTCGTACATCACAATTTTGGATAAGCCCAAAATGGCAGCTCCCAAATAAATGGGTTTGTCCAGCATCACGACCGATTTTCGCATTCTCACGGAAGTCAGGTTTTCAGAGATGATGTTGAAGGACTGGTAGTTTGTTTTTCTGGCCAGATTGTTGATCTGCTTCTTCGAAGTGGCCATCCGCACATCCACACGGTTTCGGACGTTCTCCATCGTCTTACCGAATACCGCATTGTTCATAAGCTTGAAGAAATTCTTTTCCGATTTACTCGTCACCTTTTTACGTTCCTCCGTGTTCTTTGCAATAGAAGGTTTTAACCAGTCCTTTTCTTCGAATGTTATCCCTCGGTGTACTTTTGTGATTTCCAGTTCAAGATCGATGTAAAACTTTAGCGCTTCGTGATGGACGACATATCTTTCCTTGTCACTTAGGCTGCAGATCAGCTTGTCCACCTTGCCACGTTGTGCAGGTCGTGCAGTCTCTCCGGATATTTTAAATACACTTCCAGGAAGCATGGATAGTCTCGCCAGTTTTAGAACTGGTCTTCCGTCATCCATTTAAAGTTTCGGACGGGAAGAGGCTTTGACATAGCACAACCGTAAAGGTTGTTAGCGTCCCAGTACCGGAAATAGCTTTTTTTCCTGTGTGGATTGTAGTCCTTTAGGTAGATGTTATTTGCCTTAGCATACCTCGTCACAGCCATACATATTCCACCGCGGATATCTCTTTCGATCATAAGGTACATGTCCGGATCGGTAAGCTGGTCCAACTCTACCCCCGTAAATTTTAACGCCGCGTCCAGGGACAATCCGGGAGCCGTATAGTACCATAACGGATCCAAACCGTAGGTCCTCTTAGCCATTTTCCGAAAGCCCTCGAATATGTCCGTCAGAAGGGCGATATCCGTTTTGAGGTAGACCTCCGAGTAGTCCCAGAGTGTCTTACATCTAAATCATTTCCACACCTCCTGTGCTCTGGCGTAATCCTCCTCTGAAATTTCCTCATTTGTCAGCGATGAGAAGAAGTCCTCCTTGGGAGGAAGACATGTTTCATCCAGCTTTTCCATACTGTCGATGTATTCATAAGGAAATACACCCTTCTGTTTTAGGATCGGATCCTTTCCGACAAATTTCTCCAAATAATTGATATCCGTCCTCCGGTAGGTTCTCTGCCAGTTTTTGTAAGGAAGATTGTAGGAAATTGGCGCTGTCGATGAACCTTTGATTAAAAGCCCTCGTTTTCCCGTAGAACGAGACCGTAAGATTTCTAATTGGACAGGCTTTTATGCTTTTCCTCATTCTGAGGAATGCTTGTCACGTTCTCCCCGTTTACTGCTAAGCTGGGTAAGAACAGATGTTCGTCGTAACCCTCGATATTGTGAAACATTGTCGGAATAAAATCCGGTTTCCTTGTTTTCAGGTTACATATGCTGTGTGCTGCTCCACGGTACTTTCCCGTAAAGTGACAGTGGTCCCAGACTTTTTGGTGCATCCAGTTGCTGTCCAGATAGATCTGTTTTGAGCAGAGATGGCACTTTGCGCTTGAGTTGTAATCCTTATCGTCCTCTCGGGACATTTTTATCGGAACCTGGGACTTAAAGTGTTTGACGTATAGCTCCTTGACTTCCCCTGCCATTGCCTCGCAGAACTCCTTCATCAGGTCATGGTCATCGTCCTTTTTCCTGATAGTCACCATAATGGGTTCAAAACCCTCGATCTTCGTGTTTGATGTAACGGCAAACGCAGCCATATACGGCACATGTACTTTCCTAAATCTCTTCTTCATTCCTTGTCCGACATCCCTGTTTTCCCAGTGCTCGTCCGGAATGGTGTGTTTACGGTTTTTAAACATCGTCGTTGGTTTACCTGTCTATATGGTCCCGTCCTCCTTTGTCTCCCCCTCAGCCTTCGGAAATATTGTCGACCTCTTTCCCGACAATCCCTAATATGTCTGGCCATAAGTTGTCTTGTCCCAAAGTGATTCAGGCAGTACGGACAAAAGTGTTTTGCTTCCTTTCTACCGCTCACCTGACCGGAAAGAAGACGGCTCAAACACTTCACGACACTAAAGTGGTTATCATGCCAGAAGAGGTTGATAACCTTTTCGTACTCTTCTGTTGGTTCCGCAACAACTGGACGTACTTTGCCGTAATTAGGCGGTCACCGTCCGGATCCGTTTCCATAACCTCCTCGATGCCGAAAACGTTGATCCCAATGTCCTTGTTTATTTAAAATGTTTTCACATCCTTTACAGCAACAGGAAATGTCAGTCCTTCCCAGTTATACTTTTCGATTTGCTTCCTGAGAATCTTGCTAACAACGTTCGCTTTTTTCTCCACCGGATGTAGCGCACGTGTGATCGCGTACTTGAAGCACATATCGTCTTCATTTTTTATGTTGATGACCGTTTTCTTGCTGGTAATAAATTTGGGAAGTTCCGAAAATTCGGCTCCCCTCATAATCTGATACTTCGTAATCTTTATGATCATCCTTACAACTTTCTTCAAAGTCCATCCCGATCCGCTCCTCTGATATTTGGAAATGTCGTTTGAAATCTTTCCCGATCCTTCGTCATACTTTTCCGAGATGTTGGTTGTAGGAAAGATGTTGGATGTAAAATTACTTGGATAAGAGCTGTCCGTCGTCACCTCTCCCGTGATAGGATCCGTCTTTTCCATGATGCATTCCAACTGAATCTGAACTTTCACCGGCTTCTTCACGGACTCGATCAGTTTCAGAACTTCCTCTTTCGACAGGGACAGGACCTGCTTATGGGTCGGAGCGGTCACGGAAATCGTGTACTCACTTACCGTTTTACCGTGTGCATGCTTGGTGTCTGTAATGACTGGGGTGAAACTCAATTTACTTCGTTTGCCCCAAATCTTACTCAGCTTGTCCTCCAGTTTTAGCTGAAGCTGACCAAACTTCCTCTTGCCTTTCCACTTACCCTCTCTGATCCTACGGTTTTGTTCGGCGCGTCTCTCCCGTGCTTTCTCGCTCCTCCTCAACCTTTGCGATTCCTTCTTCCACTTTTGAGCTTCGGCCTTCCAGTCGGAGACCTCTTTTCGTCGTTCCTTCACCTCCTTCCTGATTTCGCGTTCCCATGTCCTCGCCTCCCTCGTCGCCTTCCGTGCGTCGATCTCAATCTGCTTTCTGCGTCTGCGGAACTGATCCACGGTGCTCTTGATCTCCCTTTTCCATCTTTTGGTCGCTTCCTTTTTCTCCCGCTTAAGGAGTTTATCGAAATCCTTGTTAATTTTAGTCTGTCTCCTGAGGTCCTCTTTTTCGATGAACCTCTGTGTCTTCCTGTATTCCGTTTTTGCTCTCCTCCGCCGCTTCTCCGTATCCTTTTTTGCCTGCCCCAAGGCATAGTTCTTCATAACTTCGATAAGTTCGGGCAAATGGTCCGAATGCTGGTGGCTTAGAGTTGCCATTGTTTTATTATAGGAAATAACTTTTTCTTGGATATGGTTACCTCCTAAAGTTGACTTCGTTTTCCAGACTCATAAGGTTTGGAATAACAATGGCAACCCTAAATCCATTGAGCGTATGAGGAGTACCCTTTATTATATATGTAAAAGTTTTAACTCCTAAAGTTGATTTTGTTTTCCAGACCCATAAGGTTTGGAATAACAATGGCAACTCTAAATCCATTGAGCGTATGAGGAGTACCCTTTATTATATATGTAAAAGTTTTACCTCCTAAAGTTGATTCTGTTTTCCAGACCCAAAGGGTTGGAAAGTGCCAATAATAGTGATTCGGAAGGTTATCGACCTTTATTAAGCAGGAAAATTTCCTTTCATAGGTGTTGATTTAGTTATGGTAGTATTAAAATTTTAATGCACTCCTTTACATTAAAATTCTACTGTAGAACCTTACCAGGTACCTACCTGACCCTGTAAGGCTTCCCGCATTTCAGCCTCTATCTGCATTTCTTGCAGCATCTCCTCCTCTCCTGTCCACACCTCAGCCATAATCTCCTCCTCCTCTCTACACATCGTCCTTTCTCTTCCCTATTTTCCATCCACTCCGCCCAGGACATAGAGGTGTAAAACCAATTGTACGTGATATCTGTGGGTATACCTAGGTAGATTTTATCCTCCAGACTTTTAAGACAACATCCAAACACATCGGTGGATTCGGAAATGGTAATAAAAACGGTGATGCCTTTCGGACCTCCGTAAAGGTAATCTACACACCGAATTTGTGCGCCTTTTCCCATCCATCCTTTTTCAAACTTAATCCTAAGCTTCGCTTCCAAACGATTTTCACTTATGGTCGTGATGATAAACGTTATGTCCTTGTAGTCGGTGTACTTACACATTTTTGCAATACAGTTCGTTTTTCCGGGGCAGTTGAAATAGAGCTGGGCTTTGTTATTCGTTCTCTTGAGTAGCGTCATGATTGCTTTATTTGTATGTAGGAAAGTTTTGTCTATAAATTGTTGACTTTGAACTTGATCTGGGTAGGTTTTCGGCATGGAAATATATGAAAACACCTGTGTTTAGGCAGAAAATCTGCACCTGCAACATCTAAATTTAACAACCTCGCCAGGTCACTACCTGGCTAAGTTTTCAGCATGCCGGTGTGAAGCTTCCTACATCTTGGTCTCTATTTGCATTTCTTTCTGAGTCTCCTTCTACTTCTCTTACGCATTGCCTCCTCCTCCGATAACTCCAGATACTCCCATTCCTTCTGGATCTCGGGTGACTGAGGATAGCTGAATTGGATTTCCGCGGGTGGGCCCAGATGAGTTCTACCTTCCGGACTTTCTAGCCAACAGTCGAATATGTTAATGGGGGCGAAAGCGGTAACGCAAATGGCAATTGTCCTTTGTTTTCCACAAGGGAATGTTGAACACATGATCCTAGCGCCTTTTCCCATCCATCCCTTTCCAAACCTTATTTTGATTTTTGACCGCAGACCGCGATTGCCTATGATTGATATGATGACTGTCATGTCCTTGTAGTCGGTATACTTACACATTCTTTCGATATGATTCATTTTTTCCGGGTGGTCGTAGATAAGCTGAATACCTGTGTCCTTTCTCCTGAATAGCGTCATGATTGCTTTATTTATATGTAGGAAAGTCTTGTCTATAAATTCTTGATTCTGTACTTGGATCTACTTCAATCTACTTAGGGTTACTTGTCAGCAAATTTAAGGTTACTTGGTAAGTAAACCCAAAATACCTTGCGAGATACCTTAAATCTACTCAAATTTTGCTTGGTTTTTACTCGGATCTACTTGGTAAGTAAACCTATGACTACTTGGTAAGCAAATTGTAGGGTATAATAAAGGATGGTAGAGACAAATCCTAGCACAGCCGAACCCATCACAAATCCGGTAAAAACCCATGTCAAAGACCCAAGAATGGTTGAGGCAGGACGAAGGCTTGCTAAGATCAGTCAGGAGGCAAAAGCCAGGAAGCGCGCACAACGCAAAGAAGCAGCTAAGGAAGAACAAAACGCTCTGGACACAGAGAATAGATGTTAATGGTCTGTTATTACACTGCAGAGAGTTGGTATGGTGGTAGGTATTACTGTAGGACTCGGATCCCTATACGTCATGTGGTGTAATCGTCGGGAGAAGAGCGAAAAGACGGAGGAGAGCAAATCCACAGAGGAACCACAGCCTACACCAAAACCGCAGGGTAGTGCAGACCTGTTTGACTAAAAATGGAAATAGAGGGTATAATAAAACAATATCACAGTTATTCTTGGACATACTGACCTTTTCCATAGCAGCCGGAACCGTACTGATTTACATCCACACGGTTGAGGCGACAGAAGCCAAACGCAAGGCGATAGAAGCCGAATGCAAGGAGAGTGAAGACAGGATGCTTGACACCTTGGAAACAAGATTCTCTCTAATCCTGGAAAAGAAGCTGAAAGACGAGAATGCTTAGGAGAAATATTTCTGCTATAATAAAAACACAATGACTGACACAAAGAAGGAAGTGATCAACGAACTGTACGATGCCACACCACTGACGACCGGAGTCGTCGGAGTATCCTACCTTGCCAAAACGGTTGCCGGAAAGAGTCTCGGTGCACCGATGACCCTGGAAGGAGCGGCGAAATTGGCTGTTGCCGTAGCAGGAAGCGCATTTGCCATAGGGTATCGATAAATAAAGAATGACATCCGTCGTAGCCGGAGGACTCTTTAATGCCGTAGCATTTGCCGGAGCAAGATTTCTTTTCTCAAAATTAAATGGACAAGGATACAAAGAAGAAGTGAAAAGACATAACCAAGCATTGGATAAACTTGCGAAAGCAAAGGAAAAATTCTATGAATCCGAAGTGAAGCGTAGGAACGACGAAACTCGACGTCGGCCTGAAATCCTGGATGCTAACAAGGACATTGAGGACACAAACAGGGCGCTGGAAGATTTAAGGGATTTTACGAGACTTATGGATGACTCGGCATTCCAGCGCAGGCCGAAATTGGAAGATTATTATCAACCGTCGGACGAAATGAAAAGGTATGCTATGATGACGATGGGTATTTTAGGAGTTGGTGGTGCCTACGGATTGACACGAATATTTTAAATCTTACAGAAAGATTTAAAACCCTATGTTGTCAGAAGGAGGCAATTTATGTTTGTAGTTTTTCTTCTGTTGGTTACACTACCAGCAAAGTCTATGTCCTTGGATTCCATACCGAAAATTTGTACTTTAGAATTTGTAGTATCACAAGTAACGAAAAATGTGAATGAAACTTGGATGATCCTACTGCTTTGATCGCGTGTAAAAAGAACAATGGTTCCTGCACTACCCACGTAAAACCCCTACAGGGAGGAGAGTGTTGCTGTGTTTTTTTCCCGTCGCTGATGTTGAACCTGATGAATTTTGCGTTTTTTCTGTCTCCGTCGGAAATAATGGGAGTTTGTAAAAACCCGGGTGGATATCCAGGTATTTGAGTAAAGTCGTATTGTACCGATTTCTTTCCAAGACTATTTAGTTTTTTGATATCGTTCGTATGTGCAACTATTTCTGCTGTGTTTCCCTGTTGTCCGTTTTCAACTACTGCTAATTTCCGTTTTAAGGTGTTCATATCTTCCGTTATTGTATCGAAATAGTCGTATCCGAATAAGATGCTCATTTTTTATTTAACGCCGGAATATTAAGTATGCAAGCCCAAAGGATGTTGCCGCTATTGTACCAAGGGCAATATTCTGACTGTCAGACTTCTGTCTTAACCCTATTTGTACCGGGGGGTTTTCATGTTGATTTGACCGGGGGTGCGCTGATAGGGTGCACCCCTCAGAAATTCTGTCCATTAACTGCCATTATTCTATAAGTTTTATTTTTAGTAAGTTTTATCTTCCTTTAAACTAAAAATAACCAAAAAGTTAAATTCACATCCAAAATGCTGTTTTTTGGCCCCATAGAATATGACCGGCTATCCCAAAACGGCGAATACAGCTAATATTTTACCCATTTTGGTTATATTTTGTAAAGAGATAACAAAACATATTGGATGTGATATTTTTGGGTCTTTTACATTCAAAAGACATACTTTTATGTTATAGCATATCTCAGATGTCCATAAACACCACTATTTTACTTTCCAAGTTGGCATTTCTGTGCCATATGAAAAGACATACAACTGAAACTTACCTGTCTGGGCTGTCTCTCATATAAAACAATCAAAATCATTTTCAAGTTTCAACATCACTGATTTACCTTCATATCGCTGTGACAATGTCATTGTTGTAATAATGTGTCGCAATTGTGCATTCTGTTGAAACTCTATCACTTTTTGTTGGCATAACTTCTTTAGTGTAAACATAAAACGTTACACTGAAGTCGACCAACAAAAGTTTGTAGAAAAAATACGAAATGGCAGCCTTGTTTTATACCAATATACTATGGGTTACATGAAGTGTAAGGCAGGTGAGCTACGAGCTACGAGCCTGCAGTATAGTTTTGAAAACACAATATTTACTTTGAAAATCATGGCAATCAGTCTCAATGCAAAAGTTTTACACTCAATTGGAACATTTCTTCTACGAAAGTGTTCAATATATAATGCAGAAAGACAGGGAGATGTTATGCCTTGAAGGTACAAAGAAATATGTGCATTTGCATATATAAAAATACTATAAATAAGTATTTTATATTATATATAAAGTATTGTATAGTAATGCTATATCATACGTTACTATACTTTACTATTTGATATACTATATTTTACTCTTTTATATAATATATTATGGATATTTTAGTTTGCAAATCAGGTGTAATAATCCATCTTTATATGTTCTCTAATTATATTATGTTATTTATGTCCTGGGAAGTGATTCAGCCAAAAAATACTGTCCAACCCACATTTTCCCATTTTTGGCCCCGACACCTTGTTTGACACATGTCGGCAAACATCCGGATAACTTTGAATTTTCAGAAAATTTTTTTCGCAGTCATGACGGCAGAGGAAAAATATTAAAAGTCATGAAAGCACAGGCAAATGGAATCATTTGTTCAGGAATGACGGATTAATATTTATAGGGGTGCGCACCCCCGGTACAAATAGGGTTAACTCTGGTGGTTTAAAATCTTCCACTATCGGAACCGGTGTGATGACATGGCTGGTACTTGGACTTAGATGAGCACTATTTGTGGGTTGATCGGCAGGTTTTATTCCGGTGTAATTAACCTTTAGATTGTTTCCAAATATCATCCCGTTTTTAGCTACCGTTAGGATGTTGCTGAACCCTTGAATGGGTTTCGTCAGAATCCTTAAGTCTGAAGGGATTAGGATTAAACCAGGCATAATTGCAAAATTTAGAATAACATGGGTATTGGAAATAGCTGTTCGCCTATTGGAAATGGTAATCGTAACATCGTCCTGAACGATTGTGTCCTTTACCACCTTCCGGAAGACTTCTTGTGTTTGTAGACTCTTTGCATCCTGTCCCGTAATACTCCATCGGGTTTTAGCCTGCGCCCCCAGGACGGAATACACGAAAGCCTCGATAGACTGTTGAAATAACTTTTGTCCAACTCTGGTAAGTCCTCGGGATGTTTTAGGAGTAAGAGTCTTGTAATCATTTTCAACGTCGTAGGGGGACCTACCGGTCAGGTATTCGTATTCGATAAATGTGCCTCCGTATTTGGTCTGATGGTATTTTTGACGTCTTATTCTTCCCTGTTCGTTCACAGGCTTATCGTAGTACCATGTTCCAAGGTTTGCATGAGAAGAATCCATTCTCCTTTCCCACGTTTCGCGAACGGGTGTAAATTTTCGGATAGTTCGTATATCATCTGTCGTTATGTACTGATCCAGAAGTTTGGGATTACGCATAAATCTTGAAAGGTGGAAATGGAGGTGAAAGCGAACAATCGAGGTTACTATGTTGGAGTGCGAGTCGGGAAAATTATTCGTAAGATGATCCTCAGAAATTCCTCACTTGAATGTTGTAACATAAGCTGCGGCCAGGTAGCAAAAATAGGAATTGGAATGGTAATCAAACGGCAGTACGTCGATGAAGGTACCCTTAGGCTTATCGTACATTGGTTTAAGGTGGTCTTCCACCCAAATTTTCCAATATTCGTTATTTTTTAGAAAAACGCAAAAATGTAGTCTTTATAGCGTTCTTTATAAAATCCGTGTAATTTTAAGAACGAAAATGTACCGTAAACCAGAGAAATCCAGTAAATTCTACACCTTCGTAGGGTAAAACCACGATTTTACCCGGAGCGATAAAGATATGCGATTGGTTCAGTCTATTGTTCCATTTTCAATTATATTGTTCTATCTAAGTTATTCTAATATATGCAAAAACTTTAAAATCGCTTTTCTCACATGAGCATTTTACGAAATACTAAAAACTCTCCTACTGTTCATACTGAATCAATTCGTTCGAAATTTTCAGAGTTTATTTGCTTGTTACATAGCCAATGTCATGGACCTAAAAAACTTCATATATCAGCAATATACATTGCAAGAGTAGCCTTATAAGAACTCCTTTCTTCATATAATTTTAAAAAAGTAAAATATGAAGGCCTTATTATATTACTTGTATATTTTTTTAGGTTCATGACATAGATCGATGTTTTAAGTGTCCATTAAAGCTGTTTCTAAAATCCTAGGTAAATTAGTTTGGCTCACATCATTTTTGGAGCAAACCCTATATTTTACCCTATAGCGAGGCCTATCTTAGTTACTATGGCAACGACGAATGTAAAAGTTACTGATCCTGCGTCAGCTGAGGATATTCCATCATATTTGACTCAAATATGATGATAAAACCTTTAAATTGAAAAAAATGTTTTTAAGGTGGAAGACCCCCTTAATAGGTTCTAATTTTGTTATGAAACTTTCGGTCTCCGTAACGTAAACTTTGAAACTGTGCACATTCATTTTAAAGTCCTTATTCATACGAAAAATCATGTCAGGCAGAACGCTTCGCCACCCCTCTACCCAATGGAGGTACTTCGTCCACTCGGGATTTGTACGGAATGTATCAGACGTAATGTCGTAGCTCGTAAGACTAATCCACTTTGTAGAAGATGTCTCTGGACTCCACGGTTCCGTCCTTGGCAAAGGTAACCTCAAAGTCGAATTTGGATAGGGTTGCGTTGGGATACTTTTTTCTAAAATTCTCTTTCATTTTCCGGATTTCGATAGGTGTTGCCGCCTTAACCTTTCCGTAATTCTTTCCGTAGTAGTTGCGAAAGATATCCTCACTACATTCTTTTATTTGATGTAAAGTTCTAACAAAACGTCTCCCGGAACAACTCCGGTATAGGATCCGATTTCAAACCGAATTTCGCCGTACCTTCCAGCATCCACCCGTACCTGACTTTCGATGTCGTTGTACTTGGTCACGGTTCCGAAAAGAGGTTTGGTTCCGTCGATCGGAAGAGAGGTGATGATAACACTCCGATTTCTGTCCGGTCCAATGTTGTGCTCACGGTTCACGAGATTACATCTGACCGTAAGGTATCGCAAACCATTGTGAATATCTACGGGACGATCGCTGGTGGGTGGAGTGTATGTAGGACAGTTGGAAGATTGGTATACCAAAATCCATTTAACTCATCAGATGACAGTGCATCGCATCTTGTATCAATTGGAGATTCTTCTTTTCCTTTAGCTTCACACTTGCCTTTCAGACTCTTGAGAAATCGCAGAACATACGCGGTGACTCTAATTAACTTTCTCCACTCAGAAAAATTCCTGTAATCAATGATCTTTTCCGTAGATTCTGTCGTAGCATTTACGGCAAACGCCTTCCTGTACTCTGATGACGTTATCACTTCGACATCTTTGGCTTTTTCCTTGTAATCAGTTGTCCCATGAGGCCATTCACTTTCAGGCAGGTACAAGAAATCTGGGCCACGTTGCCACCGTCCTTCTAATTGTTCCACTTGTATGCCGCGGGAAACATCATCAGCTACGTTAATTTCACCTGGGATGTGTCGCCACTGGCAAGGATCGCTGTTATTTTGTATTTCTCCGACTCTGACAGACACAAAGGGTTTAAATGCACGCGACTCACTTCGAATCCATCCTTGACTTCGCTGCAAGGTAACGGACATCAAACTTTTCCATACTAACCTCCCATCGCACATACGCGCACGTCCAAAATGCGTCTTTTGAGGCATCAGAAAATATGCACAGAATTGCAGCTCCAATAACTTCGGTAGGTGTCAGGCTTCGAGGAAAGATAACTTCATTTAACTTTCTGAATTGATCAAACATTGTCATCCATTCGTTACACACTTCGGTAGGCAGATCATCGTCCCAACCGAGTCCCAATTGCCATAAACGTTGCATTCCTATCTTAGCTCTTATTATAAACGCAGCAGCAATACCGATGGGGTCGTAAATACGGGCAATATAGCTTAGTATTGATCTCTTCGTAAGCTTTATCTCTTCTGCAGATGTCTTTTCCAGAATGTCAGCGCCAATCTTAAATGTTAAATTGTCTGTTTTGCTGTTCCATGCGACGCCAAGAACCTTTTCTGTACCTTCTCCTTGAAGAAGCTTTACTGCGTCGTCTTCTTTCACTGATTCACCATCTTTTAGATCTTCATTTGAAACCCAAAATTTAACTTGGAATCCTCCTGTTTCCGAAACTTTGTCAAGATCTTTCGTCAACTTCTTCGCTTGCACCACTGTCTTTACCGAATCACAAATGTCATCCATATATGAGTTCTTCTTCAGAGGAATTGTTGCTTCTGGATAGGAATCTTGATTCTCGTCTGCAGTTTTCCTCAATGCGATTTGCGCCATTGCAGGAGCTGGTTTATCTCCAAATGTGAGTACAGTCTTGACATGCATAGGTGTCCGGCTCACGATTGACCTCCATGTCCCTCCATAAAAACCGGTGCACATGTTGATCAACTTCAGGTATACCTATCTGGTGATACATCTTTGAAATGTCCCCATTGACGGCCACTGGTTCCTCGCGGAAACGAAGTATTACTCCCAACAGGTTGTTTAACAAATCCGGGCCTTTCAGCCAGTAATCGTTCAATCTATGACCTTTGTAACTCGATAATGAATTGTACACAATCCTCAATGGAGTACTCTTCTTCTCTGGTCTAACGACAGCATGGTGTGCGATGTAATGCACAGGGCCAGTGTACTGTCTTTCTTCTTCTTGGGTAATCTTTCGAGAAAACTTCAAATCTTCCATTTATTTCATCTGCGAATTGTATGCCTTAGCGTGCTCTGGGTTCTTGCTCAATTGTCTTTCCATTGCCTCCAACCATCTAGTGGCTTGTTCCTTGTTATTTGGAAGCATCAACGGGTCACGTTTCCAAGGATACGGTACGATCCACCGATTACCAGATTTCTTACACGAATCTTCAATTATTTTTGCTTCTTCCCGTTCTACTCGGCTCAGCTTCTCACCATCACAACGACATGGTCTCACTTCGACACCCATAGATTCAGTTGACCAAAATTCATTCATTTCAACAGGTGTAGATACTCCGACCTTTAGCACTTTGTTGTCTGCTGCTGGCTTACTGTGTGTTGCTCCGAAAACCAACCAGCCTAATGGGGAATGACGAGCAACCAGATTACCAACTTGTTTTATCTCACCAGTGTGCATGGTTGCGTGATCAATACCAATTAACATATCAAGTTTCCCACTTCTACGATATAACACATTCTTTCCTAACCCGAGATGCTTAGCCAGTTCTTCCACTTCGACTTCAGTAATGTCGTCACTTATACACGGAATTCCCACTGCGTTGACTGTGAATACACTGTTGTTCTCCAAGGATCTGATAGGAACGTTGTACAACTTTGTGTTAATCTCTTCTTGCTGTCCTCCAACAGTCGTCATTGTTATTGTTACGTCCTTTCCAGTCAACTTCAATCATGGGCCACGTCAGTTCTTATCAGGCTTATCTGAGCTCCAGAATCCATTAGTATGTTTGATTCTTCACGTTCTCCGTTTCTCCGAACAACAAATCCTGAGACAATAGGAAGTAATGCATCTTTGGTCTTCAAAAACAGAAGATAGCATACCAATGAGATTTGTACTGGGATGTAACAGAGGGTGATGATTTTTGTTGCCGGGTACATTATTGATCATTTCTGTACATGGGCGTCTTCGACAGCAGTTTGATGCTCGATGTTCTCTTCCGGCTTTTTTGAGACAGCTGTAGCATGCATGATTGTCTCTGATAATCTTCAATCGCTCGTTTGGGGCCATGGTCGTAAACTTGTGGCATTGATCCACCCAGTGATCAAATGATTTGCATATCCAACACTTGTATGCCCTTGTTATGTTGGATTCCTCTCCGGAGAGGTGATGAACTCCTAACTTTCCCACATTTCTTAAAGGGGCTGTCGCTCGCATTCTTGATTTCATCTCAACCGTCATCCATTCTATTAAGTCCATCAATTTCGGTTCGATCTTTTTTCTCTTTCCAAGTAACGTGCCCATACCTTTCGGTCATCATTACACATCTTCTGCTCTATGATTGCCAATATATGATTGTTGTCCATATCATGTGGACGGCCCAATTCCTTCAGGGTATTGTAACTTCTTCTTACCAAATGAACCAATTCACAAAAACGTGAATCTTCCTCATTTCGCAACGGCTTGAATTTCATAATATCTTGAGTGACTGTATCGCCACAAATCGTGGGTCCCCATAAACTGAGTCCAAATAATCCCACGCAGCACTATAATCCAACCCAATACCTTTCATCATTTCCAACGGTTTTCCACTGAGGGCAGTGCGCAAAAGAGTAATTGCGTCTCTATTATTGTATTTAGTGCCAATAATGTGTTTAAAATCAGATTTGAATATTGCGTAGTCTCGTACGTCCCCGTTCAATCTCGACAATTTCGGTTTTTCGATCTTAAAAGCACAAATTTCCGAAGTGCCATCCTGAGCGATGGAATCGTGGCTAGCCTGCTCATTGTTTTGATTATGCGGTGTTTCCACTTGTGTTCCCGAACTAATTTCTTCTACGGCTTGTATTCTCGGTTGTTTCGTCGCTAACTGTGACTTCAGCTTGTTCTTTGTCGGCCTTTTCACTTAAGCTCTTCTCATTTAGTGTTTTTTGTACGTACTCTTTAGCCCTAGATTCCAAACTAAGAAATTGTTGTTGACATTCTTCGAGCCAGTGCTTTTCCACTTCAAATTCTTTATCTTCCTCGATCAGCTCGGTGAATTTCTTATGTTTTTGTACTAAATCGTCATATACCTTTTCAACCTTTTGCAAACTTTTCTTGTATTTCATCGACACTTCTCTGATTAGCAATCCGATGTTGTAGAACTCTACCCGATCTAGTTAACGATGCTTTCGCATTTCTTCTTGTTAATTTTGCCGCTTCGTATTCAGGCGACTCAGACATGTCAGTCGATTGAACTTCTGAAGTATGACTCTGATCCGTATGTTAAAAACCCGTTGAACCAGCGTTTAAATATAGAAATTGAATTTATGATTCGCCAGGTTTTAACCGACAGTATTAAAGTTGCTTTTCTGGGTAAATCGTATAAGATTTTTATTCAATCTAAAATTACAATAGTATATAGTCTAAGTAAAATAATAGTTAAAGTATAAATAATAGAAAACCAAATTAAACTCACTTCTGTGTCCCAATCACAACTTTAACATTCTCTTATCGTCCAGTCTGGTTAGCAAATGTTATAAACTTTTAATATCTGGTTAGCAACTTTACCCGAGATCTGTCTTTTCTGTCTAACTGCATGCAAAACCGTAAAACGTGTTATCTGAATGTTTTTATAGCTACTTCATTTAACTACAAGTGTACTGTCTCGTAAGTCAACACAACAAAAACACTTTTGAAGTCCTCACACAATCTTTTCAACGGGGGTTTGAATCTGTCTTTCATTTGGATATAATACTCTTTGTATTCAAGCGCAAACATGCATTGTTCAAGCGCAAAAATGCATGTTTGCATCGCGCAAACATGCATTTGGAAACAATGAGATCATTAACCATGCATGTTGCCTTGGTAAAAAATATGTGTACTTATTTAATAGTATTGTTTGGCGGAGAAAACTATTTTTAATTTAAAGTACCGAACATTCGAAATGTTTATATTTCGAAATATTTCTATAACTACAAAATGTAGGAAAAATGAATGCAGGTATACTTTACCAGTATGCAGCATGTCGATCGAGTTTCGAGCGCTTAGAGATTTGCGATTGCAATTTCGACCATTGCTCTTTGAAAGGACAACTTTAAAATTAATTGAATTTTTGTATTTAAGCTTCAGTGATCCGACTAATCTAAAAGTAATACGTATATATACGCTCATTGCCTTTATTTGTTAGATTCTTTCCCACAGAGTAATTAGAGTATAATGACATGTGATATCGCTTGGCCTCTCAAAGCAATAAATCGCTATAATGTTAACTTTGACTAAAACTATCGCTAAGAATTAGGCCATATTGTTTCACTGAATCGAACAGTGGTATTTTTCTCTTCATATAGCATGCACCGAACGGAAGATATGAACCTGTAAAAGTCATATAACACAGGTGTTATTGCTGCGGAGCGAGCGAGCGTAGCAGCAACCTAATATATGCAGAGAGGGATTTTGAACTATAAATTTTATTTAGCGCATGGAATTGTGGTCGTGCGCGATTTCTATGCGCAGAACACATTTTAAACTCGCTCGAGTCTTTGATTTTTATCGAATTTCTTAAGCTTTTTCATGTCTAATGTTACGCTTACATTTGTATTGGACTTTGGCCACTGTCAGTTCTATAGTTTTGGTTTCTTAGTGTGATAAATCTGTGTATATAGTCTATATAATGTGGTAAATGCGCCTAAACAGACTTGATATGAAATCTGATCTTAATTTACCTGTATGTCAATGAGACGCACATGTTTAATATCTGTCACCTCTGATTGCCCTTTAACCCCTGGTCTTTGACACTTCAATATATGTTGCTTTTTCTCAGTTCTATTCACAGCTCACTAGTCGCTGCGAGTAATCACTGTGTTTGATATAATCTGTGCTGTTTACTGTAGTTCTATTTGCTTTTAATGCCCGCAGCAATCCCTACCTTGCAGGTACCCTAGTATACGTTAATAAGGGCGGCCGAGAAAGAGTTTAATTTAGTCAAAATTCAAATACATTTCATGCATATACTAGTAGCCTACCTGACATGGAAGTTTATTGCTGCGGAGCGAGCGAGCCTGAAGCGAGCGAGCGAAGCAGCAGCCTAATTTGTGTAGTAGGCAGTAAAAAAGCAGATTTTTAGCGTCGCATGGAATTCTGGTCGTGCTCATTTCTATGCACAGTTTTCATAAATCCGTCTCACCGCACTACACATGCGTAATTAAAACTCACTACGTAGCGTAGCCACCAATATTTCTAGTAGGTCTTAAAAAGTGGACATATTTTGCATCAAGTGATGTTTCATGTATACGTGGAACCATTGAAAGGCCTTGGCTTCGGCAGTCCGGCTTAGCACAAGTTTTCAAAACGATTCGGTGATCTAATTTTCGTTATTTCTGCATTGATTCATTTTTGCATTGATTGTTCATTCCAGTGGCGGAAATCTTGGGGGGGTCGCCCCCCCCCCACACCTTCACGGAAAATTGACGAATTTTCGGAAATTTTGACCTAAAAGAGGGCTAAAAACAGTCTTTTCGAGTGCAAATAGGGGGGCACGTCGGAAATTTGAAAGTTTTGTCGGAAATTTAGGCCCCCCCCCGAAAAAGGTGAATTTCCGCCACTGGTTCATTCAATGGACTTTGGCCACTGATAGTTAACATAAATCGGTGTATATAGTCTATATAATGTGGTAAATGCGCCTAGCAGTAAACTTGATATGAAATCTGATAGCAAAAACTTGTGTTATATAATTAATTTACCTGTATGTCAATGAGACGCACATGTTTAATATCTGTCACCTGAGATTGCCCTTTAACCCCTAGTCTTGGCTACTTTAATATATAATATATTGCTTTTTCGCAGTTCCACTCATGGTAAGAATCGATTCCTCACCGGCTTAAGGCCTTAAGCTCACAGGCACAGCTCACTAGTCGCTGCGAGTAATAACTGTGCTTGATATATAATTTGTGCTATTTACTGTAGTTCTATTTGCTTTTAATGCCCGCAGCAATCCCTACCTTGCAGATACCCTAGTTATACATGATAAAAGAGTGAAACCAACTTATTTTGATATCGTATGCCGTAATGATCTAAAGTTATTCCAAATATATATACACATACCGTTAATTCAAGATTGATCACTTGCATTCGCTCTGTAAAATAAAAATTAAATGCTTGGTTGGCTCAATGTACAAGAGCGCGGAAATCAAATGCAGCTAATTCATTGAAGGTTTTCTTCTGATGACTATGAGATGGTTATGCATGCATTTTAACTCTTAGTTGTTATCTCTCTCGTAATTATGCGCATATATGCATATAATTACATACCTGCTGCCGGTTGTATAAAACTCTTAATCACTTTTTTAATCACTATTTTGTAGTTAAATAGTGATTAACTCTCAAATAGGCGTTCTTATTGGATAACGTTTCCACTTAACTATAATTAACTTTAATCACTTTTTTATACAACCGGTCCCTGGCGTTTATGATAATCCGCAAGTGAATTTAATTTCCAACGGAGCTAATAATAAAACTAAAAAAAGTTATTAAAAAGCTTAACAATTCCAATGAATTTTGACGGTTTGCTTTCAAGCCAAGTTGGAATGTCCACAGCGCATCCAAATGGCACGTTCTGCGTCGGGAATAACGCTCATGTAACATGTACAGAGACTAGAATGGAAGAATTAGAATATCGAACTGTCTGTGACAGTGTAGGTAGTGCCAATAATATTATAGTTCAGTAATTTTAGCTCATTTTAAGGCCAAGGTTTGAAAAAATAGTAAAAAGCTAAAAATTGTTAGATGCAATAATTTAACTATCCTGAACAATATACTAAAAGTCCCCATGTATCCTCTTGGAGCTTTTTCCATTATGACAAGGTTTTTTTCGAATTCCCTATTACTCCCATATTGTTAAAAAACGTGAAATTTCAAGTTCACTCATAACAAAAATGACTCGCATCACTAGAAAGCTCATAAAAGCTACATATAAGACATTTAAACAGTCACCTAAATTTTTCAAGCGATTTTCGAGTTATTGTTGTTCCAAGTGTGAAAAATAGCCCAAAATCTGGCAAAAATCCTGGGTACTAGTCTGACAACACGTTTCCAACAGCTCATAACTCAAGAAGAACTTGCAAAATCAAGGTAGCCGTTTAAATGTCTTATATGTAGTTTTTTGTAAGTTTTCTAATGATGTGACTTGTTTTTCCTATAAATGAATCTGAAATTTCACTTTATTAACAATATAGGAGTTCCCTAGGGAAATCGAACAAAAAACTTGTCATAATGGGAAAGCTCCAAGAGGATACATGAGGACTTTTAGTATGTTATCAAGGTTGCTGAAGAGAGGGCATAGTACGCTAATTTTTGGCTTTTTACTAATTTTTTCTGACCTATTTTCTATTTTGACTGTACTATTAAGAGACTTGCGTTGATATAGGGATGGAAATACCTAAGAAACATAAGGATCAGAATTCCCGGCGGCGTATCGAGCGAAGGCCCTCCGTCTGGGAGTCGGGAAAATTACACGAGCGTTTATACTAAGAATATTATAAAAGCAATCTTTTATATAAAAGGAGGCCTTTTAGAAGGGCTCCCAAATTCCCGGATCTGAGACCCTTACAGACCCTGTGTCCAACCATCGTCGTGTACCCAGAGTCTTTTTGGGAAAGACCCTGGTATCGGCAGGTCACGTGACTCTACAAAAATTAATTGCGCAAGGGGAAGTGGCAAAGTATCAAATCACATGCTTCCACAGAAAACGTTAAATTTCAAATACAAGCTAGGAGTGGGATTTTACGATATTTAGTTCGAAGCGCCCGCTAACTTCTAACTTTTTTTTATACCTCTGTTTGCTTTTAAATTACAAAAACACTGTAGCATTTTATCAAAAGTCAAGTCAAGAAACAAATAAAATGTATAAGACTAAATGCTCACTTTAAAACTGTCGATGGTTTATCTTTGAAAATACTTTTAATTAAATAGTTCATCATATTTATTAAAAAACCTGTAGATCGGTAGGGTAGGAGGTTGGCAGGTAGTAAAGTACAACAATTTTCAGCCTCAGGGTATATATCATCAGGTTCTAAATACAATCACGGCTTTAGCCTGATAATTTTTTGGCCTCCATGCACTAAGTAATGGG